GAGTCCTCTACGAGGCCAGCTGGGACTAGGACTACTCCGGGGGCCTGTGGAGGCCAGCCAGTGCCAGTTGGGAGGCTGCTTGTGCGCAGCCCGAGGCCTTACCAAATCCCGGCCTATTTGGGTTGACGGCCCCGAGGCCCGAAGAGCCGGCCCTCAGACGCTGAGAGTGCGGACAGCATCGGCTTCCTCGCCGCTCCCCATCTCTCTCCTGCTCCTTCCCCTCCCTCCCCCGCCCCATCCCCATCCATCCCCCTCCTTCTTCGTCCTCTCCTTCCCCTCCTTCCCCTCCTTCCCCCCCTTCCCCTCCTCACTGCTCCCCGTTCCCCTCCGCCTGTTGCGGGGATGGAGGAGGTCGCCCCCACCGGCCCTCAGAGGGGGGCCCTGAGCATATGTCCAGAGCATCCGCCACATGAACTGCGGCCGCCCAGCCCAAGTCTTAAGTTGGGCCTGTCCCTCTACAGGAGGAATATTCAAAAGTAGCCAAAAAATCGTCAGGGGATGTCTTATATCTTGTTTGGCTATGTTTGAAAATCGTTTGACGATTTGCTATTGCTCATAAAAAATCCTCGTGTAGGAGGACATGCCCGACCTAACCCAAGGCGAACGGGCCTAGAATCAAGATGAATCCGTTCCAGAGCGTTCCAGAACGCTCTCAGAGCGTTCCAGAACGCTCTTGAACGGCCGCGGCGCCCGATACATCCTCCAAACCCGCCGATTATCAGAGAGTTCCGATGTATGTCGGTCCTGTGGTGTCTCAGTTCTGCCTTCGTCCTACCAAGCCAAGACGCGCAGACATCCGTAGACCTTTCAGCTCCAGCAACTGGCACGGCTTTGGGGCCGTCTGGGTTGAGAATCAGTTCCACAAGCAAGCATCGTCCTGTGCAGGGGGGGGGGCAGGCAGCGATGGGGGTTCGTGCTTTCGTCATGCTGGCTCTTCTCGCTTCGCTGGCGGCCCCAACCTCGGCGGCGCGGCAGGGTCATCACGACGGCGAGATGAGCCTGGAGGGCCACGTGGAATTCCAGGACGACGGCCAGTCGGGTGCGGCAGGCCAGGGAGGCAGCCAGATGCAGAACAGATCTCTGACGGGCGGGCCAACAATAAAGCAAGTCAAAATGGCCTCGCGGAGCGCGAATCTCGTGAAAGGAGTGTTTAGTAACTTCGCCTTGGGCGGGAAGATCACTTCTTTCAACGGGGTCGCGGCGATCATCGTAAGAAAGGGCGTCGAAATTTGGGCCAAGCAGCAGCATATCAAATTGCTACGTGCTGCCCTGTGCGAAGAATTCTGTAGGCTTACGCCACATCCGCCGACCCCTTGATCGTCTTGGAGATGTCGTGTTGCTGTCCTGGGGCGTACTTGTGTTGTCTTGTTTCTTTGGGTGGGCGGGCCTGGGGGGGGGTCGAATTGCCCGTTTGGGGTCCCTGGGGGGGTATTATGGGAGGAATAGAATATCACACGCCTAGAGACCCACAAGGGGTCGGCGGATTCCTGCACACAGATTTCGAGTCCGAGATGACGAGGGTCTGGGATGGGGTGATTGTGCCGGCACTGACCGACGAAGCTGCGGGCTGCAACGATTGCGATGCCATAGAGGTGCAGGTCTGCGAGAAAGGAAGCATGAAAAACGACAAGTGTCTGATGGTCGAGCACATTGCGGAGCACTGGTTGCTGTACATGGAGACTTTCCTGGCCGTGTTGGCATACATATCAGCCCATCCAGACATGTGCATGAGCCACCTTACCCAGATTCAGTCGTCGTGGAATGATTTAGCAGACGGTGTACACTTGGCGACCTCCACGTTTTATTGGAAGTACGAGTTCAATTGGCAGGATTTCAAGAATCATCCCCGTGCTGGCCAACGGGAAACGTCGATGGATGGAATGACGAAGCAGCTGCAGTTGGGTACCAAGTTCAACCCGTTTCGATCCGCGAGCTCGCTCGAGAGGATCATTGCCGTGGCGAAACATCTTGGCATCTACGATGCCGAGGGGCGGATTACGGCCCCTGAGTGCCTGGAATAGGACCGCTTGTGCTGGTTCGTTCGAGTACCGGCCGCTCCATACGTCGGACACAGGAGAGTCGAAGCGCTCTGTGTCTCAGCCGCTCTGTCTCAGAGGCGCTGCTTCGTGCCGAGTTGCACGCTAGAGCACAAGGCAGGCAGCAGGCCTCTACCAAGCACATAAGGCCAGAAACAACGACAAACAAACAAAACGCACAAACGAAATATCGGAAGCACAACGTGGCCTCCAAGATCTGCCTGCGCAGGCAGCGCTTCAGGCGACTATCCGTGTGCACGAGGCAGTGCGAGCGCGCAGTGCGCGTCGAAGATTATGGCGCGTGGATGTGTGGCGCGCTGGCATCGCTCGAGTCGAGTTCATATAATCCAAGCGCCGGCGCGTGGATTGCGAACTCGACTCGAACGTCCATGGCAGTGCGAAGCGCAAACATGGATTATAATGGAGACCCATGCCAAGAAACACCCTGCTTGTCTGCAGGGTGCCCTGGGTTTCTTAGGTTTCGATGGTTCTGCCATGGACAGCGCAAAAATCAATGGACGTCCTGGGGTCTGGGTTTCTTGTGGAAGGTTTCTTGTGGACTGGCCTCCACTGTATGGCGCGTGGATGAGCGACGGGCCCCGCTTCCGCGCAGCATCTGCGCGCACTCCGTCGCCAAAGCGGGCGACACCAGCGCCATGCTTCGGGGGGCACGCTCCCCCGCTCCGTGGACCTGGCGCAAACACGGACCCATGTCAGCGCGCCCCCGAGTGAGACCGCCCCCCTCCGCGCCCCCCCACCACCCCTCGCCCCGCAGCCGCCCCTGCGATCGGACACCGAACAGCGAGCACCTCCTCGTCGAAGCGGGCCCTCGGCGCCCCTCGGAACTCGCCCTGGGCGGCCTCGTCGGAGGAGCCTCCGCTTCCTCGGTGCCCTCGCCCTCCGGCACCGCCTCCCCCATGCCCCTCCGTTTCCTCTGTGCCCTCGTCCTCCGGAGCCTCCGCTTCCTCCGTGCCCTCGTCCTCTGTGCCCTCGCCCTCCGCTTCCTCCGTGCCCTCGTCCTCCGGCGCCGCCTGCTGCGCAGCGCCAGAGGGCGGCGCTCCCTCCACTCCGGCGGCCCCCGGCGGGGCTCGGCCCCAGCGGAGCCGCGGAGAGCCCACGGCGGGGCCCGGGCCCTTTCGGAGGGAGGCCTGCCATGCATTGATACGGGGGGGGGACGGGGGAAAGGGATGCGGTGGAGTGGCGGGGCCACTCGAGGGACGCGGCGCCTGGCCACGGATGACGTAATGTACCCTGCCTGCAGCGAAGCACATGGCGCGCTTTGAGTGTAACGCACTCCTGCGCCTCAAGCCGCCGTTGGCCCCGAACCGGCCGATATCCGACAGTCCTGCGCTGCGCGAACGGCAGGCCGCCATCGTGCAGATTTGATCGATCCGCGCGGGCGCGGGGGCGAGACCCCGACGCGGGCGCTCAGAGGTGAGAGCCGCCAGGGGGCCCGAACCCGCCGATATTCAGCAACCCTGCGCGATCGGAAGGCCGCGATCGTTCAGCGTTGAGGGTTGGGCCCCTTCGTTTGGCCACGCGCAGAAGGGGGGTAAGGGGAGCGGGGAAGGCTTCTTAGAAGGAGGCTGCTGCCCAGAAGGCGCGGGCCTTGAACCTACATGGGGCGTTCCAAAGAGGGCTTTGGCTTTGCATTCGAGGATAGAAGGAGTTGTCATCTCCTCCGCGGCGGAAGCGCGGCGGAAGGTCGGCGGAAGCAAACGAGGCCGCCTCCGCCGGCGGAAGGGCGGCGGAAGGTGGCGGAAATGAAAAATGCGTCCCCAAGAGATGACAATATTTTTGGGTACAGGGTTTCTGAAATCCGCCATATAGGTGTAAGGCTGGCCCCTTCTGAGAAGCAGCCTCCCTCTAAGAAGTCTCCCCCTCCTCTCCCATTACCCCCTGTGCGTGCCGCCAGTTCGTCCTCCCCTCCTAGACCCCCGCCCTCGTGATTTTCTCACAACGTCGACCCCCAGAGGTCTGGACCCCTTCCCTCCGGACCGGTTCTCTACTCCGAGTCATTTTGTTGACGGCCCCAGGGCCCAGCGAAGTCCCGCAGAGGCCGAAAATTGCGAAAAACCTCCGTCTGATATGATGATGGTGATGGTGATGATGATCATGATCATGATCGTGATCATGATCAGAATCATGATCAGAATCACGATCATGATCATGATGGTGATGATGATGATTTTGATGGTGATGGTGATGATGATGATGATGATGATGATGATGATGATGATGATGATGATGATGATGATGATGATGATGATGATCATGATGATCATGATGATGATGATGATGACGATGATGACGATGACGATGATGACGATGATGACGATGATGACGATGATGACGATGATGACGATGATGACGATGATGATGATGACGATGCTGACGATGACGATGCTGACGATGACGATGATGACGACGATGACGGCGATGACGATGATGACGATGATGACGATGATGACGATGATGATGATGACGATGACGATGATGACGATGATGATGATACTGATGATGATAACGATGATGACGATGATGACGATGATGAGGATGATGACGATGATGACGATGATGACGATGATGACGATGATGATGTTGGTGATGTTGGTGATGTTGACGATGATGATGGTGTTGGTGATGATGATGTTGATGATGATGCTGATGATGATGATGATGATGATGATGATGATGATGATGATGATGATGATGATGATGATGATGATGATGATGATGATGATGATGATGGTGATGTTTTCTCAATGCGTTGAATCTTCGGGCCTGACCGCCTCCTCCCCGCTGCGCCGCAGCAGCCCCCCCAGCGCCCAAGGCCCGCGAGATGCCCCAGTGCCCCACTCTGTAGCGTCCTCCTCCTCCTCCTCCTCCTCCTCCTCCCCCTCCTCCGCCTCCTCCTCCTCCGCCTCCTCCTCCTCCTCGACCGCCTCCTCCCCGCTTCGCCGCAGCAACGCCCCCGGCGCCCCGCGGCGCCGCGAGATGCCCCGCGCCCGCCCCCGCGGCCGCGCCGGCGGGCTCCTCCTAGCCGGCGCGGCGGCCGCCTGGAGCGCCGGGCGGGCGCCCTTCGTGGCGCCGGGAGCGCCGCGGCGGGGCGGGCGGCCGCCGAGGACCGCCGCGGCAGCTCCAGACCCCCCATGGCGTCGTGATGTTCCAACCTACTTTAGTCCAGGCCTCCTAAATAGGGTCGGAGTAGACGGGGTCGGATGATCGCGCCGCATCGCCGATGCATAGCCAAGGCGGCTCGATGAGAAGCCCGACGTGCTTCACGTCGACGTCGCCGACGCATCGCCGATGTCGACGTTGCATCGCCGGTGCATCGCCCGTGCATCGCCGATACATCGCCGATACATCGCCGATGTCGATGCGGCGCGATCCTCCGACCCCATCTACTCCGACCCCATCTAGGAGGCCTCTATTTTGCCTAGATCACCAGAATTCAAAAAGAAAATCGCTATAAAGAGAAACTGTTTTACGCTCTGTGCCGGCTTCTTGGATTTGCGTTGGGACCCCCCAGCGGCGCCTCCGGCGCCGCCCCTGGCGCGCTCCGCGCGCCTGGGAGGTGGGTCTGGCGCGGATCCAAGAAATCCGCGCGGAGCGCCAAAAGTTTATGTTTATGCCGTCTTTTTCTTCTTCTACAAGGGATTTCGAGCAGCAAGAAAGTACCGAAGCCTGGGGTGGTTCACGTGTCGGGCCCTGGGAAGGCGATACTCGTTCGACACGGTTTCGATATTTGTGTGGGTGTTCGAAAGTGTTTCTGGGATAAGGTCCTTAAGTACGATGGGAGCAACATAACCTTGGCGTTAAGTCGGGCATGTTCCTCTACAAGAGGGATATCCAAAAATAGTCTCAACATATTGTGAGGACAATGTGTCGAACATGTTTTGGCTATCGTTGCATATTGTTTTGCATGCCCGACTTAAACTCCAGACCCCCCTGGCGTCGGGAAAGAAATGGCGACGGGGGGGGGAGAAAAGAGCGGTGGGGGCTTCCATCTAGGCCTCCTAGATGAGGTAGATGGGGTCCGAGCAGATGGGGTCGGAGGATCGCGCCGCATCCCCGATGCATCTGCGATGCGGCTCGATGCAGAGCCCGATTTTCTCCTCGCCGACGTCGCCGATGCGTCGCCGGCGTCGCTGATGCATCGCTGATGCATCGCCGATACATCGGCGATGCATTGGCGCTACAGCGCGATCCTTCGACCCTATCTACTCGGACCCCATCTAGGAGGCCTCTATTCAATGGAGGAAGAAAAAACGGCATAGACATTAGCTTTGGGAGGTCTACGCGGATTGCTTGGATCCGCGCGGGGCCCCCTTCCCTGGCGCGCGGAGCGCGCCAGGGGCGGCGCCGGAGGCGCAGCCAGGGGTGCCCAGGCGCCGATCCAAGAAATCCGCGCGGACATTCGAAAGTTTCTGTTCGTGTCGTTTCTTTTTCTTCGATTCCGGATCTCCAGCGATCTTGTTTTCTTGAGCATCAGACAGTGGATCCGGGGCAAAAAGTGATCCCCAGGGAAGTGGTCGGGGCTTGGGCCGCGCATTGAAACATCCCCAGCCCCTCCCCGCTTGAAGAAGAAGAAGAAGATGATCAGGAGGAGGAGGAAGAATAAGAAAAAAAACTGCAGGAACAAAAACTATCGGAGCTCCTCGCAGATTTCTTGGATCTACGCTGGACCCCCCCGGCGGCGCCTCGGGCGCCGCCTTTGGCGAGCTCCGCGCGCCAGGGAGGGGGCTCAGCACAGATCCAAGAAATCCGCGCGGACCACCCTCGCGTTGTGACAGAATGGACGACGACTCTTGAGGGCTCTGGGGGGGGGGCGCGTCTTGTCGCCACGGCTGGATTCGCCTCCAATTTTTGGCCAGCATGCACCCCAGGAGAGGTCTGGGGGTCGGTTGTTGACCCCGCGGTCCAGACCACCCACCTCGCGCCGTGGAACAAAAAAATCGCGGCGGACGGCTTTTGACATTATTCCGCCCGTGGAGGCCCTCGCCGGGCCCCGGGACCGTTAGAAACCGACCCAGGATGGAAAAGCCGGGCCTGGAAATGGGTCGAGACGTTTGGGGATCTACGTGAAAAAAAGAAAACGTGACGTCGGGGGTCTATGTCCCCAGACCCGCCTCGCGTCGCGGAAAAGTATCGGAGGAGGGCGAGTTGAGACAACGGTAGTTGTCTTTCGGGGGAGGCCCTCGTCGCCGCGGCGGGACGCAGCTGGGAAAACTGCTGCGTTTGGACCCCTGGAGGGGTCCAGGGCCCGATTTTGAGCTGCCGTCGTCTCAAGTCGCTCTGCCTGCGAAAAGCACGACGAACAGCGTGTTGCTGTTTTCGGGCCTCTGGGGGGCCCCGGGCGGGCCTCGGGGACACCGTCGGAGATCGGCCCGGGACGGAGAGCCGGTCCCGTGGGGGACGGGTCGAGGCCTCCAGGGGGGTCCACGGCGTCGAAAAATGAGGAGCGTTGAGACGCGGGTCAATTCAGACGGGGGCCAGCCAGAGCGCTGGATCTTGTATCGGGGGCGGAAAAGAGGGGGGGGATGACTAGGGGGGGGTGGATATCATGGCGGGGGTCATGATATTTCCCCAGATTTCATGGCGCCTCTTCTTATTTTATTACGTCCCTGGCCCCCCCGCTGGGCCGCGCACATGCCGCCGGTCATGATTTGCACCCCCCCCTCTTGGACACCCCCCTCTTGGCCGCTCCCGATTGTAGGGTTCCTGCGGGATTTGCAGGATTCTGCAGGGCCCGGCCGACCCGGGCTCGGATGGACCCGGGTCGGCAGGTCCCCGGAAAAAGTCATGGCGTCGGGGGTTTGGCTCGGGCGTGGGGTGGGAGGGCGCCATGGCGGACGACGCGCAGCGCGGGGAGGAGCTGGCGGACGCGCTCCGCCAGGCGTGGACGTGCCGCAGGGGGGGGGGGCGCACAGTCAAAATTCACAGTGAGGACGCACTGCTCCCCCCCCACACCTCCTCCTCCTCCTCCTCCTCCTCCTCCTCCTCCTCCTCCTCCTCCTCCTCCCCTCCTCCTCCTCCTCCTCCTCCTCCTCCTCCTCCTCCTCCTCCTCCTCCTCCTCCCGCTCGACGGATGTTCTCAGGGTACCCGTGCGTCCTTGCCTCTGCGGCCCGTCCTGCGCGGCTTTCACTGGCCAGCCCTTCAGGGTATAATTAGGCAGCTCGCCGCCAAAATTAGCCAGGCGAAGGACCCAACCATATGCAGTTGTGAATGCCGCAATTGTGCTGGGTGGTGGCGGACGCATGCGGGCGGTGCCACTGGGACCTTCGGTGGAGCTTCCTATGGGGCCACGAAACGCTGTACTGGGTGGGTGAGACGCGGTCAGCAAGGGCTGTGCTGCGTGGTGGCGGACGCATGCGAGCGGTGCCACTGGGACCTTCGGTGGAGCTCCCTATGGGGCCACGAAACGCTGTACTGGGTGGGTGAAACGCAGGCAGGGAGCAAGGGCTGCGCAGGGTGGTGGCGGACGCATGCGGGCGGTGCCGCTGGGACCTTTGGTGGAGCTCCCTATAGGGCTACGAAGCGCTGTTCTGGGTGGGTGAAGCGCAGGGAACAAGGGCTGTGCTGGGTGGTGGCGGACGCAAGCGGGCAGTGCCACTGGGACCTTTGGTGGAGCCCCCTATGGGGCCACGAAACGTGCGAGGGGTGTGCCAGAATGGGGTGTGGAACCGCATGCCAGCGCAGCCACTGGGGCCTTCGGTGGAGCTCCCTATGGAGCCACGAAACGTGTGAGGGGTGTGCCGAAATGGGGGGTGGAACCGCATGCGAGCGCAGCCACTGCGGCGTTCGGTGGAGCTCCCTATGGGGCCACGAGACGTGTGAAGGGCGTGCCGAAAAAGAGGGTGGAACCGCATGCGAGCGCAGCCACTGGGGCCTTCGGTGGAGCTCTCTATGGGGCCACGAACCGTGTGAGGGGTGTGCCGAAATGGGGGGGGAACCACATGCGAGCGCAGCCACTGGGGCGTTCGGTGGAGCTCCCCATGGAGCCACCCACGAAGCGTGTGAGGGGTGTGCCGAAATGGGGGTGGAACCGCATGCGAGCGCAGCCACTGGAGCGTTCGGTGGAGCTCCCTATGGGGCCACGAAACGTGTGAGGGGTGTGCCAGAATGGGGGGTGGAACCGCATGCGGGCGCAGCCACTGGGGCCTTCGGTGGAGCTCCCTATGGGGCCACGAAACGTGTGAGGGGTGTGCCAGAATGGGGGGTGGAACCGCATGCGGGCGCAGCCACTGGGGCCTTCGGTGGAGCTCCCTATGGGGCCACGAAACGTGTGAGGGGTGTGCCAGAATGGGGGGTGGAACCGCATGCGGGCGCAGCCACTGGGGCCTTCGGTGGAGCTCCCTATGGGGCCACGAAACGTGTGAGGGGTGTGCCAGAATGGGGGGTGGAACCGCATGCGGGCGCAGCCACTGGGGCCTTCGGTGGAGCTCCCTATGGGGCCACGAAACGTGTGAGGGGTGTGCCAGAATGGGTGTGGGAGGGGGAGGAGGGGGGAGGAAGGGGAGGAGGAGGAAGGAGGAGGAAGGAGGAACGCGGGGCGACGTCTCTTCAAAACGAGGACCCAACACCACAGGATGGTTGGGAAAAATGCCAGCTTCGGAGTCCAAGGCCCTTGCGTCCTTACCGCCCGTCCTCACTGTAGATCTCGACTATAGAGGGAGAGGCGTCACTGCTCGTCCTCAGGCAGGCCGTGGGGGAGGGCGCGTCGCCAGCGGCGCGAGAGGCTCCTCTTTCTCCAATTGGGGCACTCGAGAAAAGGCCTCGCCTTCGAGGGTCGCAGGCGTTGCCATCTCTTGCTCGGCGGACGGGCGGCGGAAGGGCGGCGGAAGCCCGCGGAAGCAAAGCGGGGCCGCCTCCGCCGACGGAAGTTGGCGGCAGGCCGGCGGAAGTAAAGATCGGCCTCACTGGAGATGGCAAGTCTTCTTGGTCCAGGGTTTCCAGGACCCGCAAATTGCTCAACATGAATGCTGCTCTACTCTCTCCCCCGACTACGTCCTGGAAGCATCCCGCCCTCTTGTTGTTGTTTTACATCGGATTCAGAGTTCTTGGTGTTAGATATGTATATCGGATGTCTCAATCGGATAGTTCTCGGTTTCCAAATAGTGTTCCCGCTGCAGCGTGGGCCTCATTTGAGGATCGGCGTGTTGCTCCCGTCGTTCAGACCGCGGCCCAGCGCGCGCCACTTCTCTTGATCCGAGTCCTTCCTCCTCGTTTTCGCCCCGCTCCTTTCCTCTTCCACGCCTTCCCCTTATCATCCTGCTCCTCCAGCTCCCACTCCTGCTCCTGCTCCTGCTGTTCCTCCTCGTCCTCCTCCTTCCTCCTCCTTCTTTATGAACAACTCTTCCTTATCGCACCCTGAGACATGTCAGTAGGGCGGGCTGGGCGTTTCGCTCGAGACTTCCGCATCGCTTATGTTCATTAAACTTCAGATCCTCAGAAACTTCACGGAAGGATGGCGGGTGGTTTTCAAAATGTGGTTATCGCTTTATCGATGCGCACAAGTCTGTTGGCAAATTGCAAGAGCTTCACGGATGGAGGGCGTTTCTTGTTCAATGTGTTGTTCTTGCCTTAGTGCCGCACACATTCGTCTTGAGAGCTTACAGCATGCTCAAATATTATTATGGCTGACGTCCCAGACATGGTGTTTCGGCACGATGTAGGACTGTCAGGAGGGCAACAGTCACGTTGATTCGCGGTGTTGAAGTCCCATGGATGTTTTTGCTGGCGCGATTCAGGATCGTCAGGACGCAGCGGCAACGTTGATTCGCGGCGCTGAAGTCCCAGGAACTGTGTTCTTGCACGGTTCATGATGTTCAAACGGTTGTCTCCAACGTGGCACTTCCTTCAGTGAAAATGCACTCATATAGGGACATGAATCGAGAATGTGGGTGGGAGGGTTCATTGCAACAACGTTGATGAGTCTTGGGTTTGCACTGGTCCTCCTCCTCCCACTTCTCATGCTCGTCATCCTGCTCATCCGCAACCTCCTCCTCCTCCTCCTCCTCCTCCTCCTCCTCCTCATCATCATCATCATCATCATCATCATCATCATCATTCAATGTAGTGGACCTTAGGGGGTCCAGGTCCGCTGTGAGAGTCGGTGAACGGAGAAAAACAGCGCAATGGCAAGGGATGTGTGGGAGGGATAGGATGTCATATATGGCGCGAGCGCACCTAGCTTGCTTGCTCCCCCTCTCCCCTCTCCCTCCCGCCTTTCCTTTCTCCTCCTCGTCCTCCTCCTTCTCCTCCTCCTCCTCACCGTCCTCATCTTCATCATCATCATCATCATCATCATCAACATCATCATCATCAGCATCATCATCATCATCATCCTGGTCCTCATCGTCATCCACCTCGTCCCGTTCATCCTCCTTCCTCCCCTGTTCCTCCCTAATCCTCCTCCCCCATCCTCGACCTCACCCATTATCCTGCTCCTCCTCCGACTTGTCCTTCTCGTCCTCCCCCTCTTCCTCCTCGTCCTCCTCCTCCTCCTCATCCTCCAACTCTTGCGTCACGGTCCTTGGCGAGTCCTATCTTCACGGTAGGGCCTCGAACATTGATTAGGCCTGGGCGGCGCAACCACCGCGTTCATTTTACTTCTCGTCCTCCTCCTCCTCCTTCCGTGGCCATTTCGGCTCAAGCGGCCACCAAGGTGGCAGATTTCACGAGCGCTATGCGAAAGTGAAAATATTGAACGGCTGTGCGATGACGAGCTCGGAAGGGGCGGCTGTGCACGTGGGAAAGAGTTCGCTGCATGACCGTCGTGCGATCAGCACAGCTTCGCGGCGCGCACCGATTCCTGCAGGCGGCAAGGCCGGGGGCCGAAGTGGCTCCTGAGTCGCCATGCCCCCCGACGCGAGAAAGAGACAGCGGTCCGACCAGGCTGGCGAGCACACTGTCGTAGGGATCTTCTCGTTCGCGCTCGAGTCCAACGCATTCAACCCAGAGCCGCGGCGGCTGTCCAGCTTCCAGTTCCTCGAGGGCAAAGAGTATGAGAAGGACGAGCGCCAGTCTGGTTTCGTACGGCGGCTGCGGGCGGCCGAGCCGGAGCTGTTCGGCGGCGTGGTCGTGCGCTTCGGCGTGCTCTACCGCGGCTGGTGCGGCGGCGTCGTGCCCGCGGAGGACTTCGCCCGGATGAAGGCGACGGCGGTGGAGCAGTGCCGCAGCATGCTGGCCAGCGGCGAGGAGCTCGCCGGCCTCTACTTCGACCTGCACGGCGCCATGGGCGCCGAGGGCTGCGACGACGCGGAGGCCGAGCTCGTGGAGGCGGTGCGCGGCGCGGCCCCCCGCGCGCGCCTGGCCTCGGCCTCCTTCGACCTGCACGCCAACGTCTCGGAGCGGCTGTGCGCCGCCATCGACCTCGCCGCCGCGTACAAAACTTTCCCGCACGCCGACATGGAGGAGACCAAGACGAAGGCGCTGCGGATGCTGCTGGTGTGCCTTCGGGGGGTCATCGAGCCCAGGGTCGTCGTCGTCACCATTCCAGCCATCCTGGAGGGCGAGAAGGTCCTGACGACGGAGGGCCACGGCCAGGAGCTCTACCGGTGGCTGCGCGACCTCGAGCCGAGCGCCTGGCGGACGCCCGAGCTCGTCGAGCTGCTCGGCCCAGTCGACGAGCGCGTGCGGCCCGTCCGCGGTCTGCTCGACGCGTCTTTCTTCGTCGGCCACGGGTGCGCGGACGAGTCGCGCGTCGGCGCGGCGGTCGTTCTCAGCGGCGAGGCCTCGGCCGTGGCCACGCTGCGCGAGCTCGCGCGCACCATTGCGCAGTGGTACTGGGACCGGCGCAAGCTCTTCGCTCACCCGGCCGGCTGCCCCCTCCTGCAATGGGCCGCCGCCGAGGCCGAGATACTCTCGAGCCTCGCCGCTGGCCGGCGCGTGCTCCTCGGAGACCTCGGCGACAACACCAACGCCGGTGCGTCGGGCGACGTGCCGTTCGTCTGCCGCCGCCTGCTGCGGCTCGCGTCGCACGGCAGCCCGCGCATGCTCGTCGCGGGGCTCGTTGACCGTGCCGCCGTCGAGGCGTGCGCCGCGGTGGTCGCTGAGGGACGGGACGTGCTGCCTGCGGTGCGCGTCGGCGCCGGCCACGCGCTCGGCGCGAGGTACGGCGTCGACTGTGGCCCGCTCGAACTCCGAGGCGCGAGGGTGCGCGGCCTCGTCAACGGCGGCGCGTGGGCGGTGCTCGAGGCGTCGCCCGCGCTCACCATCGTGCTGCAGCGCTCGGCGTGGGCCTTCCTCGGGCACGCCGACGTCGAGCGGCTGACGGACCGCTTCCACCCGGCGTCCTACGACGTGGTGGTCGTCAAGGGCTCTGTCGTCGGGCCACTGGCCGAGCACCTGCGGGCACCGGGCGAGAGCCCGCAGCGCACTGCCTGCGTCATGGCGCTCACGCCTGGCGCGGCCGCGAGCCCGCAGCCGCCGAGGCCACGCCTGCGGCCAGGCACCTACCCAGAGGATGAGGACTCCACCTGGACTGCGCCGGCAGGGAGCTGCGCGCAGCCCTGGCGAAGCCGTCGATGACCTCCCCATGCAGGAGAGGTACCCTGCCAGTTCCGTGGTCCACCCCAGCGAGGCTGCAGACAACCTGGCTTAGCGGACCTTGACGTCTGCGTTGCCACTGTCATCCAGAAGTCTGGCGCCGTTGACAACTCAGTTCAGCGCGGCTGTAACAGTTTGTGGTCGCACGGGCCCAGCCGAGACCGAAGCACTGCCGTCGGGCCATTTGCGCACGCGCCGGGCCCCTGCAGTGTCTTTGCATCCGCATCATTGGGCGCTACTGTGTGCTCCGCAACTGTCGATGTTGATTGACCCTGGCGGGGCGCGGCTCAGAATAGATGTGTGCGATGTTTCCCTTGCGTGACGTTTGCATCGCCGGTTTGGTGACCCTGAATTTGCAGTGGGCGATACAGTTGGATACTGGTTGGCACGCACGTACGGCGGGTTAGGAGTCCATCTCGCACAGTTGCATGTCTTACCTTATCGTGGGGAGGGGAGGCGTGACGCTGATCCCCTCTCCTTCTCCTGCGTCTCTCGAAAGTCGAACCCTGGAATTGTTCTGGGGTCCGCTCCGACCAGAATTTCGAGGCGGATGCAGCCCTGGCTGGAAGCCTCCCGGATAGCCTAAAAGCACAAACAAATTCCGTAGATGTCGATTCTCGATGTGCCCCATCTTTTTCCTTCTCTTCATATTTCTCCTCGCTGCCGTCCTGGTCCTTCATAATCATCCTCTTGCCTTCCCCGCGCAGCTGGGAAGTGCAACGCCTGAAGCAGAACAGGATCGAGGGTTGAGAATCGAGGTTTGGCACGCTTGGCCTTTTTCAGGCCTCCTGAGGCTTCCAGGGACCTCAAGAGGCCTTCGGAGAGCTTTCGAAGCCTCCAAACTCTTATGGAGCGGGTACGGAAAAAAACATCTACGATGCCGAACGCCGGATGCCGTCCAAAACCAACAGCGGCCGTTGGTGGGAGGGCGACTAGTCTCAAACGGACAACGCCCGCGGCGATGCCGACAGCGAGTCCTGTTCAAAGTAGACAGGAACTATTGTCGGTCGTCGTCTCCATTCTTCTGTGCAGCCCAACTGGGGGTCCAGGTGAAAGGGTGTGGTGGCAAAAAGTTCGGTTGAACTGAAATACCTAACGGGTCCGTGCGAAAGTGATTGAGCCTTTTCTGCCGTTCGTTGCAACGCATGCTTGCAAACGGCCTCGGGGTATAAAACGATTGAGGCAGATGGCAGACAGACGTCTCGAAACGTCTTCGAAGACCTCGGCGGTCCATCGGCGACAGTAGTCGCATCAAGAGTTGGCGCGCTTGGCGTGGAGCGCCTTGCTCGGCACAATGCGCGTTGCAGTTGTAACGCGCGCGGACGATGAATTGCAATGTATTGCGCTCGAGATGGATTGCACCGTATTGCGATAAACGCACTGCACGCAAACATCGAGCAATACATTCGCATCCCTGGACATATTGCACGCCCCAAATATGTTGCAGCACTCCGGGATATATTGCAATGGATTGCAGTTGGCGGGTTGCATTGCTCTTCTGCGCTGGCCGATTGCGGCGTGACTGTCCAGACCCGACCTGATCACCTACGGAGCTTGCGAGCAGGGGACGTGGGGTGCCTGAGAGCGTTTTCCGATTCCGACTGGGGAATTGGAAGCACGCTCGCAACGAATTGGCGGGACTCAGTATTTTTTGAATTCGCAACGAAGTTCCAAGACTTTGCAGTCCAAATTCGTGGTGCGAATCATTTGTAACAGCCACAGTACGCGAATGCGCCGTTGAAGCGAACCAGATCCAAGTTCCAAAAGCACTGCCCCCCTTGGGGTCCCACCAATCGGGGGAGTAACCAATTTTTTTTCCGCGGCACCCGCCGCGCAACAACGACTCCTCCTTCTCCTCCACTTCCTCCCCCTCCTCCCACTCCTCCTCCTCCTCCTCCTCCTTCTCCTCCTCCTCCTCCATCTTGTTACCTGGACCCCCCTTGGGGCTGCCTGAAAACTTCCTCCGGGCCCATATCCCGCCGGTCTGCACGCCGCTTCCGTTGCCGCTCTCTCTATGCCCCGAGGTGCCCATTGCCGCCGCAGTCGTCTTCTTCCCCCGACTGCCCCCCCGTCAGTTCAGTGTCGTTTAACCGCCCCCTTGATCCACATCCCCATCCCCATCCTTCGGCAGCAAATCATGGGAGCCTGGTATACCCTCTGAAATCCGTCTTGAGCGTCGATGAACGTCGACTAGCGTCGGCTAGCGTCGATTGGCGTCGATGTAGCGTCGATTAGCGTCGATTTAGCGTCGACCAGCGTCGATTCGCAAGAGCCGACAAGACGGTACGGAGGCTCCCAAGAGTTGCCACCGAACCATTCCGAGCCCGACGATCTCAGCACCCCAGTTGGGGATATACCCCTCGAGACCCGAAGGAAACAGCCTATGTCCCCGCCTAGGGGGGATTCATCGACCAGTGGGGCCGAGGCCACGCCCATGGGGTTGGGGTCGGTTGAACAAGGCTCAGTCAGTATCCCTCCCACACTCTCTCTACCTCTCTCTCCTGCTCCTCCCAATCCTCCTCCTCCTCCTCCTCCTCCTCCTCCTCCTCCTCCTCCTCCTCCTCCTCCTCCTCCTCCTCCTCCTCCACACTCCACACTCCACACTCCACACTCCACACTCCACCCTCCTGGCGCGCTGGGCTGCTCGAGGCCAGCATAGAGACGCTGGCCGACTACGGGGCCGTGGCGGAAGGCTACGCGGCTGGAAACGCCAACCACGACGTGTCGCAGAATGTCAACGCTCTGATGCGAGCTTAGCGTGCGGCGGCCGCCTCCTGGTCCCGTCGACTGCCGCCGCCGCCTCCTCCTTCTCATCCTCCTCCTGCTCCTCACCACCACCACCACCACCCGTGATACCTGGACACCCCTCCTCCTCTTCCTCTTCTTCCTCCTTGTCCTCCTCCTCGTTCTCCTCCTCCTTCTCCTCCTCCTCCTCCTCCTCCTCCTCCTCCTCCTCGTCCTCCTCCTCCTTATCCTTATCCTCATCCTCCTCCTCCTCCTCCTCCTCCTCCTCCTCCTCCTCCTCCTCCACATTGTACTCCCTGCTGGCCCCCGGCGAGGATGAGGTGGCTGGTGAGGAGGGGGACACAGGGGGCAGCTTGACCCTGCTCCGATCGGGGGCAACCCGGTCGAGCTGGTCGGCTTCCATAAAATATGTGCCGATAGGGCGGGGGGAAGAGCGCGAGAGAGAGAGAGAGGAAACAAACAAAACGTGCGTGTGAGAGCAAGGGCACTTGTCGAGTCCTGCAGGGGCAGTTTGCGATTGGCCCCCATCAAGGGGGAGAGAGAGAGAGAGACAGAGAGAGAGAGACGGCGACAGACAGAGGTAGAAAAGAAAGAGAGAGACAGAGAGAGGGAGGGAGGGAGAAAAAGGGGGGGAGAAAGAAAGAGAGAGAGATGAGAGGGGACGCGGCGTGAGGCCAAGGGTGAGGGTGCGGGAGATCATGACGGTGGCGACGATGATGACGATGGTATCATCGCCGTCGCGTTCGTCCGAGAGCGCGTGCGGGCAGACAACATACGTCTCGGCAAGGCCTGCGGAGGACGCCCGCCACCAGCGGCGCCTCGCGCTCGGGCTCGGGCGGGACCTGCCCGCTGGCTGCGACCGGCCCAGCAGGTAACGGGCCCAGACCCCCTCTTTATGATCTTCAGGACGTGTGTTAGCCCAATGTGTGTTTACCCCTCTCAGCCCAACCAGTAGATCATTATATCGCCTGCGTCGTATCGAAGGGCGTCGATGGACAAACACACGTTGGGGCTAACAAACGTTCTGAGGATCATCGACCCTCGCGCGGGGAAAAGTTTATTTACGGCGGGAGGTTTTCGCCACTGTCAGCTTCTGGGGGCCTTCGCCAAGCCCTGGGACCATCAAAAAACGGCTCGGGATGAAAAACCGGTCCCGGAGAATGGATCGAGACTTTCGGGGGTCCATGCTGCAAAAAAAAACATGATGTCAGCGGTCTGGGAGCGCAAGTAACGGGGGCCAGCCAAACCCCTCTTGATCCCGTTGGTTGACCCAGGCTTGGGACCCGAGATGGGGCCGACCACCCCCCCCCCATCCCTCATCCCTTCGCTGACCTGGACCTGGGATCTGTTGCGCGGCCGGCCCAGATTCGGGACATGGCCGCGGACGATCCGAGCCAGCGCCCACCCAGGCCGGCCCGTCCCCGATCCACCCAGGAGGCGTACGGTAGGTTCGTGCCGTGTCGACGCGCCGGCGACCCCGCCGCGAGCATTCAAGATTGAACTCCGCCAGCGGCCCCGAACTGGCCAAAATGGAGCGACCTGGCCATCGAAAAGCCGCGCTCGTTAAGGGCTAAACGATCCACGCGGTGCCAGAAGCCGACGCCAGGGTTGTCACGACACGAAGTTGCCGTACTCTGTTGCTGCTGAGCCTCCGTGCCGCTGAGGTTGCGAGCGCTGGAGGCCGAGCGCCTCCTGCCGTCGTCGTCGTCGTCTTCGTCGTCGTCGCCGCCGCCGCCGACGTCTGTCGTCTGTCGTCTGTCGTCTGTTGTCGTCGTCGTCGTCGTCGTCGTCCCTCGTCGTCGTCGTCGTCCGTCGTCGTCGTCGTCGTCGTCCGTCGTCCGTCGTCGTCGTCGTCGTCGTCGTCGTCGTCCGCCGCCGCTGCCCTCGTGCACGCTGTTGTTCCTGGCCAGCCTCGCCCACGACCCAGGCCCCCCAGCACGTCGTGGAAGCATCACGAGACGGGAGGCTTTCGGCTTCTGGGGGACCTCGCGACCGTCCTCCTCCTCCTCTTCCGCCTTTTCCTCCTCCTCCTCCTCCTCCTCCTCCTCCTCCTCCTCCTCCTCCTCCTCTTCCTTCTCTCCCTACGCTCGTCTCCTCCTCCTCTTCCTCCTCATCAGCATCATCCTTCTCCTCCTCCCCCTCCTCCTCCTCCTCTTTCTTCCGAGCGCCGACTGATCCTCCTCCTCCTCCTCCTCCTCCTCCTCCTCCTCCGCCTCCTCCTCCTGGGACGACGGCTCGGGATAAGAAGAGCCAGTCCCAGAGAAGGGGTCGAGGCCTTCGGGAGTCCGCTTCCTCAAGTGTGGGACGGAGCGAGTCCGCAGCGGTGTAGGTAGGCCCAAAGGCGCTCCGCCAGAGCGAGGCTGGTCCCGGGTTCGGCGACGCCCTGGGGGCCAGAATGAGCGCGTTGGAGAACACCATGTTCACATGAGCGACGCAAAAAAACGGGGCCGTCTGCGCCGACATCGGCGCGTAAGGTCGCGCATAAGCGCCCTCGTCTTCAATGTGGCGTGCCGTGCTGGTGACCCACGTAAGCCGCCGCATCAGGTCGCGATGCCATCTCGCGTAAGACCCATTTTTGATCGTCGTTCACACCTCGCACGTCTCTCTTCGGGACTGTGTCGAGGCCTTTGGGAGACCACGCCCCGAGAAGCCGCTGCCTCGGAGGCTTGGGGAAAGGCAGGCCGCGGGCGGCCGCCTTGGCTCTGGCGCCCAGAGCAGGGCGCCCCAGGGAGGGCCTCGCCCTCGAGAGGCCGAGGGGCTGTGCTTCCCTTCGCCTCCTCCAACTCCTCCTCCCCTTCCCCCTCTTCCTCCTCCTCCTCCTCCTCCTCCTCCTCCTCCTCCTCCTCCTCCTCCTCCTCCTCCTCCTCCTCCTCCTCCCCCTCCTCCCTCCTCCTCCTCCTCTCCTCCTCCTCCTCCTCCTCCCCCTCCTCCCCCTCCTCTCCGCCCTCCTCCTCCTCCGCCTCCGCCTCCGCTCCTCGCCTCCCGCCTCCCCTCCTCCATCCTCCTCTCGTCACTCCTCCTCCTCCTCCTCCTCCTCCCCTCCTCCTCCCTTCTCCTCCTCCTCTCATCCTCCCGCCGCCTCTCCCCGCTTCCGCTCCGCTCCTCCTCTCCGCCTCCGCCTGCCGCGTTCCGCTCCCCTCCGCCGCCGCGCCTCCTCCTCCTCCTCCTCCCTCCTCCTCCTCAATCCTCTCTTCCTCCTCCTCCGCCTCCTCCTCCTCCTCACTCCTCCTCCTGCCTCCTCCTCCTCCTCCTCCTCCTCTTCTCCTCCCTCCTCCTCCTCTCATCCTCCTCCTCCTCCTCCGCCTCCGCCCTGTCCCCCGCCCTTCCGCCTCCGCCTCTCGCCTCCTCCCTCCTCCTCTCCTCCTCCTCACTCCTCCTCCTGGGCGTTCCTCCTCCTCCGCACATCCTCTTTCCTCCTCCTCAGCCTCCAGCCTCCGCCTCCGCCTCCTCCTTCCTCCTCCGCCTCCGCTTCCGATGCCTCCGCCTCCGCCGCCTCCTCCCTCCTCCTCCTCTCCCTTCCTCCTCCTCCTCCTCTCCTTCTCTTGCCTTCTCCTCCTCCTCCTCCGTCCTCCTCCTCCTCCTCCTCCTCCTCCTCCTCCTCCTCCTCCTGCCCCGAGGGGGTGGGGGGCCTGGCACCTGTGCTCATGGTGTCAGCGCCACACATTCCTCGGGGCACACTGTCAGTGTCAATTGCATGCGGCGGCTGGGGGCAGATAAACCGGCTTTCGTCGTTCTTGCACCAGCCACTTGGCACTTTGCCCGTGGCAGCGGCGCGTTAGCTGCGCCCGTGACCTGGAGCTAGGAACCAGGCACGGGGAGTGTGCATTTGGTTGAGAGGCGGGGCCATGTGGTCCGTAAGTCCCTTGGGACCTTGTGTCCGCTCACCCTGGGGTACAAACCCACTTGCACATGCCATCCGATTCGGCAGGGGTGACGGTCGGGAAGTACTGCGCGGTGACGCGGTGAACCAGCTGTCCCCCTACGCACCACGCCGTCTCGGTTGGGCAGCGAGTCGCTGAGCGACGAGGTATCTGCCTTTCCCTTGACCGTCGGTGCTGGCGCCTGCGGGCCCCTTCCTCCTGTCTGGGAGGCCGAGGGTGACGGTTGAGCCTCGCTCGCCGCTCACTTCTTGGATCTATGACACTCATGACACTCCTCCTCCTCCTCCTCGAGGAAGGGGGGGGGGGGGGGGAAGGCCTCGCCTTCGCTCGCTCCAGGCATGGCCTCCCCTCGAGGAGGTCCAGGGGGGGGGGCCTCGCCCTCGAGGGGTCGATGGGGGGGCGCCCAGGAGCAGAGCCGAGAGCCTTCGAGGGGCGGAGCTCTCTCGAGGAGATTGTCGCAGAAGGGGCCCGAGGCCTTCGAGGGCCCGAGCTTCGGCACTCGGCGGAGGCCGGCAGGCGCAGAGCGAGGCGGCGAAAGCTCGGCGGAAGCTGGTGGAGGCAAAAGTTGCCCTTGTCGGGCCGCCGTATCTTCGGTATAGACAGTGATATCGTGCGCCGCACGCCGGCTCTTGTCACTTTAAACACGCAGCGTCCTAGCATGGGAGATTGGGCGCAACGCTTTGAAACATGAAGTCGGATCCCCCTCACGACAGATCAACGCCGACGGCACCAGTATTCTTGGGGCTGTCCACTCAGGACTTCGCCCGAAGCAGCGGGCCGAAGGCAGACCTGGTCATGGCAAACCACCCCCCTGGGGGGGGTTTTTTCCCTGGTCATGGCCACAGGAGGGCCTCCGCAGAGGCCAAAGGGGTCAGCAGGAAACAGAGTGCATCGACAAAGCGCGCGGCGCATGTCATTCCCCAAGTTTTTCCCTCCCCCCTTCCTCTCCCGGTCTCTTCCTTACTGCCTCAGTGCCCAATTCGCACCGCAGTAGCCCTGCCGTAGCCGCGACCGCAATTTGGATCCAAGGCGCCGCCGATCAAGAAGCCATGGCCCAAACTCGGGTACCTTCTGAGAGCAGCACGATAAGAGCGAGCAGGCAAGCAGCCCGTGGGCGGGAAGTATCGACCGGCACCGACCCTTGCTGGGACAGCCCTGGGGACCCAGGATCGGGGCTGTGTGGGGCCCAGGGAGCTCCCGGCACCGTCCCCGAGGGTGGCGTGCTCGGTCGCAGAGGCCGCTCGTCGAGCGGCCCGGGTGCCCGAAGCCGGCTCCCAGAGGCCCAGAAGGGGCGACGGTCCAAGGACGGGGCCTTGAGGCATGGCCTCCGCCTCCTCCTCCTCCTCCTCCTCCTCCTCCTCCTCTTCCTCCTCCTCCTCCTCCTCCTCCTCCTCCTCCTCTCCTTTTCCTTCTCCTCCTCCTCTTCCTCCTCCTCCTTCCTCCTCCTTCCTCTCCTCCTCCTCCTCTCCTCTCCTGCTCCTCCATTATCCTCCTCCCTTTCCTCCTCCTCCTCCTCCTCCTCCTCCTCCTCCTCCTCCTCCTCCTCCTCCTCCTCCTGCTCTTCCTCCTCGGCCTTCGGGACGAGTGGCCTCAGACAGGAAAGGTTCGGTTTAGGACCCCCTTCCTGTCTCAGGGGCCCCATCCCTCCAGGGCCCATGCCTTTGCGCGAGGTTCAACCCCGAACATGTCGAAACAATGCTACACATGAATGTGCGAAGATACCATGTTTCTGTACGCAACGTGCCACGCGACTCAAGGGCCCTAAACGGCGATGGATGCTGGCATGGAGGCAACAGCAGGGGGGAAGAGGAGCACAAGGCCAAGAGGAGGAAAGACAATAGGATAGCTCTGCTACTCCACACACGCCCCAAACTCTTGTTGGTCTTGTGGTCCCTTGCCTACACCTCCTCACTCACAGAATATGGATATACACGTAGAACAGAATGAACATGATGACGATGTCCGCGAAGCTGAACAGCACGGTTCACGAGCCACCACGGATACAGACAATTGTCCCTTGCTTGGGATGAATATGAAAAGTGAGTATGATGAGGTGAGCGTAGTTGTTAGCACGCCGCTTCAGTGGAGTTCGTAGTCTGAACATGGGTGCAGGCGCTGAGCACAGCACTCTACACACCGCTGTTCAGTGCAGGGTCTGACCGTGTTTTGCTTTGACTGCTGCGGGTCTTCGGGTCCAGCCGGTGCTTCTCCAAAGTAGCAGACTCTTCTATGATGCACACCTGGCCGGTACGCATCAATATCTGCAACAATGGAAGGTTGCAGTTTCGTTTTGTCATAGCATCGGCATACATGCCGGAGTGATCAACCCATCGGACGTCCCCGTTCTGAGCGTCAAGTGAAGAACGTATGATTTGTATTTCGATCGCTGTCCCACGGTCTGCCGTGCATCCTGCGCTCTCGCTGTGCAAGTGGTCGTACAACGACTTCGCGTCACAAATCGACGGCAATTGTTGTAGCTCTTTGTTCGGGAGCTATGTCTAAACGTTTGTAGCTCTTTGTTCGGGTCTGCTGTCCGGCCAGCTACCAGCAGGCCTCTATGGCGCGTGCGGGACGCCCAGTTGACGATGTCGAAAGATGGCTCTACGAGCTCTTCGAATAGACCCCGGATCCACTCGACTTCTGCTAGGGCTTCCGACATGGATTGCATCTCTGCCGCAAGGGTGCTGGCAGCCATTCGCGGCAGACGGTGTGATTTGTACGACACCAAAGCAACCGGAGTTGCCTTGTACTCCCACAGCGCCCGGGTCGTAGCACCGACCAGGAAGGCTCCCTGGCTCTT